TACGTTTGAGTTAACCTATATTACGTCAAAAAAACGCACTCATTTAATGCTATTATGAAATAATTACTCTACTAATATAGAATTTTGAAAAAGGACGTAAAAATTACATTCATTCCGGACGATTTTATTTCAAGAGAAATGTTTTTTTTTGTGTACACGATTTATAATTAATTATGTTACCACAGGAATTTGCCAAGCTTCTAATTACCAACAGTCAACTTAAATGTCTATAAAATTAACTACAATTCTTACAAAATGTTTCTATATTTTTTGCGCTATATATAGGTGTGGCTGCAAGGGTTATTTGCTTTAATGTCCCTGATCTTGCTGTTAAAATATAATTCATATTTTAGGACCTTATATAATAGAAAGAAACAATATTATAGAAATATTCACATTACTAAAGTGGTATTTTATATATTGCAGTGACCAATTAAATGTATTGTATTGATTTTATACACACATCAAAAGTGTTTAATGATTTTTTTTAACACCAATGGATTTTTTGGTTGTTTTCATTTTCAAATAATAAAATTGACCGGAAAAATTTTTATTAAAAAACTTTGTTTCCAGTAACTGGCAAAAACACTTTTCATGTGTGTAACTTGTTACAGATTTGTTACCACGGTACAAATACAATATAATACGGGGCAAGGGAATACTAAATATTTAATTTAATATGTGACATTTCGTGGTAACAAACCTGTCAATGATGATAATAATTTATTAAATAACCATGAAAATCTTAAAATCTATAATGGTATTTGGCCAATTAAATTTAAAAATATTCACGTTACATGGTGATAATTGAATTATAAGTGAGCGACAGTATGTGACATATTAAAAAAAAGTGAGATACAGTTAAACAATGGCGTTCTACAACAATAAATAATGTGCCACACAACCAAGAACCCGGTCTCAAAACACTGAATTTTCTATATTATGCATGACCGTAAAAATATACGTAATTTCAAGTCAGTCCACAATACTAACCTTAAAACTAAGTCCAAAACGTGGCTTGGATATCAGTTTTATAATATCAAGTGACGGGATGAACAAGTCGTGCGCCTGATGGTAAGTTACACGCCTGTCCATAACAGTCGCAGTGCCACTCAGAGCTTTAAATCGCAAAGATCTGAGTGACGTAAGTCGACAAGTCCTATGAGCCTGTAATTTCACCAACACCCTTACCCTTCCAAACCGGATCACAGTAATGCTGACATTACTACTTGGCGGTAGAAACGGGTAAGGTGGCAGTATTTCCCTGGACGAATTCTTCCACAAGGCGCTCTACCGCTACTACGAGATCATAGGAATGATATTTTCTGCCGTTCCACCAATGGGCGGCAGGCCTTAGTTGACTAAAGCATTAAAAATAATCCAATACATAATTGGTGAGAATGATATATCAAGCTCGCGGTGTTTTCAACAAAACACAAAACCTGGCCACAAGTCACACATACAGTCGCTCGCTAAATTATTATTTACGTCAATACATTGTAATAATAGACATATACAGGGAGTCCCACGGCTATGCCACACGGAGGGAAAGTACTTAAGAAATTTTACTAAAAGAAGACTCCATTTTCATTTTAAAAACAATTCGAAAAAAAAACCTGTAATTTTATATACTGATCCAAAGCCTCAGCCATAGGGATCGTTTTCTTCTATGCTATTGTATGCTATGTTATTTAACATTGCGTCTTAAATAAAAGGGAGACCATGAAATTTAACGTTTCATTTGATATTTTGTTCAGGTGTAAATAATTGAATGTCATGGTGGTGAAATATCTTGACATTCAATAAAACACTTTAAATGAAATGTTCTTTCAGTAAAATTTTGTATTTACGGTATTAAAGGTACTTTCCCTCCGCGTGGCATTGCCGTGAGACGCCCTGTATATCCCACTGGGCAGGGGTGCCACTCCTAATCTAAGTAAATAAAAAAATGGCTATATGTCAGTCTTATCACTAATCTCTATGTACAAAATGGCAGTTTTTATTTAGCTTTAGTTGTCACTTAGCGCTAAAATTAAAATTAAATTTTATTCTAATTATGACTGTAATTGAGATTAAATACATTTCATATTAAATATAATTCAATTTATTCTAATTTGAATAATTAAAAAGTATTGACAAATTAATTTTGTCGTTGAAAATTCATTTTTTACATTAATGTCTTGTCTTTATTGTATATAAATTGGCAAACAGTGGTTGACCTTCCACCACTTGGCGAAAAGGCTTCATAATACCTAATAGTAAGTCCCAACTGCACACGTGAAAAAATACTTAACAAAACGGCCCAGTCTGTGCACGATGATGAAGAAACATCACAACATAAATTTTGTTTTACGTGTCATTATTTTTTGTCTCAGAGATAATTATTATCAATCGGCCATGTTTGTTACCTTTTTGACTTTCTCTAATAAATAGAAAATACTATGAAGATTTTTCTAACAGCCTGTATAGAAGATTAAGACTCAATTAACAGCACGGGCTTTACTGTGCGGTTGCCAAGTGTTTTCTTTGTAGTTGCACCTATTGCTTTTCTATAGAAAAATATCAACAACGTACTGACAAAATTTAATTATTTATATACATTGACCATTTTATATTGAATCAATATAACCATCACGGTAAGAAAAGTCTTTCTTGTGTGCGGTAGTATTTACGTATTGTCCATGAAAGGGTTAAACAAGAACCAATACTGTCAAACCAGACCCCATATTCGTGAGAGTCAGAATGGCGGGTGTACCTTAACGGATTCCATCGAGTATATAACCAGAAATAGAGACGAAATGTCATTTAATTTGTTTGAAAACCATTCTGCCCAATCATTACAGTGACAACTGCGCTCCGATGGGCCAGTCCGAATTCGAAACAATTGACGAGTGTCATCAATTGTTTCACTTCAAATCGACCAGTTTAATTTGAGCTTTGTTACAATAGACGAAAATGAAAAATTGCATATTTAATACTTACTTAATTACAATTAAATGTGAATCCGTTTGTTTTGTAATTAGATGTTTTGGTTTTTCCCACAACACCACCGAATGGTATATTGCCCCATTGTTAGAGATATTATCTTTATTACAATAAATACAGAATATTTTTGGAATATACGGAGACGTACACTCAAGCCAGTTGTTGGCGCTGTACTATTCCAGTTTTCTAATTTGTGATTTCAGCGCAAACGAGAGTTGATATTTAAAAGTGATATAAGGCTCGTTTGCCTGATGAGTTACTAGTGATGGATGGCCCTTATTTCGTCTCTATTTGTGCTTATATAATCGGTGACGGATCCTGGTAAATTTGTACTATTTAGTAACTTTGTTTAAAAAATTTGTACCTCCATCAGAAAAAGTTATAGCAATATCAAAGGTACACCTGCCGTATTGACAGTCAATAAAGCGGGTGTACCTTAAACTACCATTTTTTATTTAATAACTATAAAAACTTATTATTTCAAAAAATTGTACCTTAATAGTACTTAAAAGTAAAGGAAACTCCAGCTCGATCTGCTGGTTAGATTCTCAGAAATCCGTACTGGGAGAAATCCGCCCGTACTGTTTCTGAGAGATCTGTTAAGGTACACCCCGTATTCCGACTCTCATCTGTACTCTTGTTCTCCGTTCGAAAAAAGTACTGTCAAATAATACTCAACCAAATTCAAAAACCAATGAGGCTTCATATTTGAAATTGTCTCTCAATTTAGACGAGTGTTACTTATTACTTACCCTCAGAAACAGAACCTTTTTAGTATCTTTTTCTACCCTGACATTGGTAGAATCATCGTAAAAATCGATGGGCCCATAAAGAAATAGGAATTGGAAAATTTTGTTAGTTATGATGTAAAAGGAGCACTTTGCATCTTGCAGATTGCATCATATTATAAAGTAGGCCTCAATATTTCTACTCGACTATGCTATAGTTAATTTTGATTATGGTTTATAATTAGGTACTTGAATACTTTTTTACTACAACCATGGATTATTAAATACTAAAGTCTGTCTTTTTGAAGACGGAGTAAAATGACATTTGAAGGGTTGGAATAAAATTTTGAAAAAGTTATGTACATAGTTGTCTCGGATAGTTATATTTTTATTTTATTTTAGTTAGTTTAGTTAGTTTATTTTGTCAAAAATGACTGAATTGTGAAAGTTACGACGTTGTAATGATTACTAATTGCGTCACTGCCATTGACATACAAATAAATGGACGACGGGTCTAATACAAAAACCACGAAAAAAATGTCCCAAGTCAACCTATTCGAAATTTAAATTGTAATGTCATCGCAGTATCGCGCTGTCAGTAGAACAAATGAAGACTAAAGCGGAGTTTGGCGCTCTGTATACGATTTTAGCGCCTTACAAGTTTAGTTACTTATCACTCAGATCGGGCTTGCTGAAAACCAGCGCTACTGGTCGATTTTTCTACCAGTAGCTTAAAGCTGAGCAAGTACCGTTTGCCTGCGCCGCGACACGCATTTATTAATAAGTTTCGTAAATTGCAGTACCTGTAAAATTGCAATTAATTTCTCTGTGCTTTTATTTTATTTTATTTTTAAATTTTTGTATTGCATTTATATTGTGTTCAATGTCTAATTTTATAATATTGTATTGCATTTTTTTTTTTTTTTTTTTTTAAGTTCATGTGTGTCTCGGCGAGAGTAATAAATCAATCTTATTCTTATTATTCTTATTCTTATTCTAAGTGCGGACACTTTTTAGCGCGGACCCGACGTCCATATAATTGTAAGTCAATGGTCACTGCCTTCTTTATTCTTATTTTGACAGTTGGTCTACTAGTATCGAGGTCAATTTGTATTCAGATACACTTTAACGAGAATAGCCGGATTTGATTGTCTATATTGAATTAAAGTGAAAAACTTTGAAATAATGTCTCCTCTTTGTGTTTTTCATAAACATAGTTCTAAATACAGTGTATGTATGAATGAATTTACAAAAATCAACAATTCAAATGAACTTAAGCTCAGTAATTAAATGAATGATGAATGAATGAAAAAAGTTCTGGTATTTATTCCATAAGCGTGACCAATGTTCAGTCGATAGTTGATAGAATACTTATCGACTGCAATCACTAGTTGCTTGCAAGCGAGCAACTCTTTTGCGCAATAGATTGTCATTTTACTCCGTGTTCAAAAAAAGACAGACAGACTATAGAATTGTCATTCGGCATAATGAAGATCATAGAAACTGAATAGTGAAAAGAAAATTTTGTTTCTTTTCTACATTAATCAACTACTGTATAGCTGGAAAGTTTTAGACGCTAACTCATAGCTATCTTAGTTAAAGAATACCATAGGTGTTGGCGTTCCAGTGTCCTTCTCTTCCGTATTATTGTGTTTTGTGGTATCTGAAGTTGTTTCTTGCAAGAGTGCGTTCACCTCTTCCAAGATTTCTGTGAATTGTGGACGGTCGGTTGGTGAATGACTCCAGCAACGTTTCTGTCAAACACGACATTTTATTCAGTTTAAAAATACATGCAAATGTAAATGTTATAATATGTGTGTCCCACGGCTATGCGTCACGGAGGGGATAGTAGTACTTTATGTGACTGTTACATAATGAAAGATATGAAAAGACGAGTGTGGGTTCACACAAGTGTTTTAGAGCCTAATTATGTACAGTTACATACACTGCTTTATCTATACACATATTATAAGCTCTGTATGATATGTTCAGGAACCGCATGTTACGACTGGCGAAATGGCGGCAAATAAAAACTTTTCTCACGTATGTCACACAACCGTAGTTATTATTTAATTCATAGACAAACTAGAGTCGGCCCCAACTATCATATCGTACGATATCAAGTAACGTGTGATAAGTGTCAAAATTGTTTGCTATTGACATTTCATTTCGAATAAAACTTCATCTCGACTGATATTAGAATTGAAGTTGAATCAAATTGTTTTGTTTTTCAGAGATGTTCGAAATTTGAAAGTAGTAATAAAATCGAATTTACATTATTAATAATGCAATAATAATTGCATTGCAATTGCAAGCATTGAAATTTCGAACATCTCTGAAAAATAAAACAATTTGATTGGACCTCAATTCTAATAACAGTCGAGATGAAGTTTTATTCGAAATGAAATCCCAATATCAAACAATTTTGACAAATTTCACACGTTACTTGATATCGAACGATATGGTAGTTGGGGCCGACTCTAGTTTGTCTATGAATTAAATAAAAACTACGGTTGTGTGACATGCGTGAGAAAAGTTTTTATTTGCCGCCATTTCGCCAGTTGTAACATACGGATCCTGAACACATCATACAGAGCTTATCTGTGTAGATAAAGCAGTGTATGTAACTGCACGTTATTAGGCATTAAAACACTCGTGTGATGTTTTTATGGACCAATACTCGTGTTTTAATGCCTTTCATTATATAACAGTCACATAAGTTCTTATTTTCTTCCCTTCTATTCCTCCTAATATTGTACCCCATTTAGTAACTAACCACCCAACAATCAGTAACCGCACGGTATTAATACTTACCAGTAAAGCAGCGAGTTTCTCAGGCATACTGGAAGGTATATTCCACTCGAGATTACCTCCTTTCAGTCTCTCTAATACTGAATTGTCGTTCAGTTTTGCGAACGGCAATTCCGCTTTTGTGTATATCTGAAAAAAAAAATCAATTACCTTATACAAACATCAAAACAAAGAAGAACGATGGCCCCGGTGTGGCAACAGACCCTGGTTCCACTCCGGTCAAGTCGAAGGAATTTTTCTTTGTGGTTTTTTTTAACTTTGTCTACTTAAAAAATCAATAATAATAACACTAAATATTAAAATATTTAATTTTTTATTGAATTGATATTCAATTATTTAAGTGGAATTACTCCCCTAGTTTGTTATAATTATTAATACAAAGATCGAACACTCAGAAAAAATTCCTTCGAAAAAAGATTCGAACAGGCGTCTTCTAGCATACCGTGCCAGACGCTATACCAACTAAGCCACGGAACGAACCAGCGGACCTCACGAAATTTTCATGTGCTTGCGTCGTATCTTTGCAATTGGTTTTTCAACGTTTTTATTGCCGTAGGGCCATCTATGGGAAATCTATGTTATTTCGTCACCCAGTTCGATACCTTTACAGCTACCAGCTTTGGCTAGAGATGTCGTTATTCATTGTATTTAAACTTTTATTGTGTATATATATGTGTATACATTGATATTTCTATTTCGCTTTCACTAAGAAGCTGCTAACAGAAATTATCGCAAAACCTGGCCGCCTTTTTTGTATGAACAGTTTTGGCTTGGATACAAGTCCTTTGAGCCATGTCTTCGTTTAATAATCGGGATCCTCAGGAGTCAATATTTATGATTTACTTTCACTTAAATCACATTATCTCCTATCACTTTAAACAAAAACTTTGAATTCGTAATTAGTGGAATTTTCAGGATAAAGTCTTTTGTAATTTGGTTTTAAATAAGGAATATAGTTCTAACTTTCTTAATCACTATTTCTTTCTTCGTTTTTCTTCATAATATACTCAAAATAAAAATAATGTTTGTAGAAACTGTACTCGTAACTTCAAAAAGCCGTCACTTTTTTTTCAACAGGCCGCCTGTTGTTTCTTATATCAAGTTATGGGACGAACAAGCGACAAGCACGTCCCTAGCAAATCCAGTGCTACTGTGGCAGTCACCCTGAGACATAAGTTGACAAGTCCCATGTGCCTGAAATTTCACCTGCGCCCGTGCTCACATTATTGTTTGGCGGCAAAAATAGGTAAGGTTAGCTTAATTAGCTAAGGTCAGCTCGCCGCTCTCGCTAAGGTCGATGCAGTTAGATGCCTTTCTGTTTCTCCTCCCAAATATATGTATACATACCTCCCAAATTGTAGCAGCGAAACTGTAGACGTCAGATTTGGTGGAGTATTCGCCCTCCATCACTACTTCTGCCGGCAGCCAACGCAACGGGATCACCTGACATGGACCATAGATAAACTTTAGTACGAAAGATGTCTTTTTAATTTCTTTATTATAAAATAAACAATCAAGTAGCCAGTTGAGCCACTGTGCAAACAGTTCCGAATACGGGAATCACACTTATTAATTGAGGCTATCAGCGCATTATTTTTACCATCGTACCACAAACAACCAGACTCACCTAGACAATATAGAAAAGTAGTTTTCTACACTGTTTCTCGGCCAGGGATCGAACCCGGGATCAGGGATCGAACCTCACTGATGGCGACATCATGAAAAGCGGTGTGCAAGCCAATCGACCACGGAGGTCGTCGAAACTTTATGCAAATTCTGACAAGGAGGTCATTACACTGGCCGGGTTAGCGCGAAATCGTTTTTTTATTATTATTACGATATCAAGTAACGGGACGACCAAATCTAGCTACACGTGTCGTTATTTTGCCTGGTTGTAAGTGGCACGCCTGGTGACCGACGGCAATCTGATTTAGATCCGAAATAGTTTCATTTTCCAATGTGTATTCCTCTTAGGCTACTACATCGAATATGTAACCAGAAATAGAGACGAAATAAGGCCATCCATCCCTGGCAACTCATCAGGCAACTGGGCCTTATATCACTATTAAATATTAACTCTCGTTTGCGCTGAAATCACAAATTAGAAAACTGAAACAGTACAGCGCCAAAAACTGACTTGTGTGTACGCCACCGTATATTCCAAAAATATTCTGTATTTATTGTAATAAAGATAATATCTCTAACAATGGGGTCTATTCCATTCGGTGGTGTGGGAAAAACAGCAAAACATGTAATTACATAACAAACGGAATCACATTTCGTCGGTAATTAAATATTAAATATGTAATTTTTCAATTTTCGTCCATTATAGCAAAGCTCAAGTTAAACTGGTCGATTTGAAGTGAAACAATTGACGACACCCGTCAATTATTTCGAACTCGGGCTGGCCAATCGGAGCGCAGTTGTCAACGTAATGATTTGGCAGAATAGTTTTCAAACAAATTAAATGACGTTTCGGCTCTATTTCTGGTTATATACTCAATGGGCTACTAAGGACTTAATCAATTAATGATTGTATACGCTAGGCTGACCTGGTCGTGAAGTTTGTAGTACTCGTGGGACAGCGGCGCGCGCGACAACGCGGGGCAGGATAGCTTAAGTCGCAGCGATGACGTCACCACGCAGTTACGCGACGCGATGTCTCTGTTATACAAACAAAACAAATTGTTGGAATGTTTTTTCTACTGCATTGTTGACTAGTGATGAATCGAACGGGGATTTTAAGACGAATAGTCCATCGAATATTCAGTGAAAAGTATACCGAATGGTACGGTTGAATTTGAATAAAAAAAAAAACAAGTCGGTGAATGTTGAGCGCGCGACCTTTTCACCCTAAGCTGAATAAGAATAACAAAACTTTTTTACTTCTCATGCTCTTACAGTTCGTATTTATGCTGGGTGTAGGCTGCATAAAATAGGATTTTATGCTCTAGTGCATAAAATAAAAAAACCATCACATTAAATATGTCTAATTGTTGTAATTTTACATTCAATTTTAATTAAATAATCGTTTATTTATAATATTGCCGTTTAATTTCCTCGCAATCGAAGTGAAAAGTAGAGTGTATAACTCGTTCAAAAAATATATATTTTACCCGAGACGAGGGTAAAATGACACGTTTTATGCACTTGTTGTACAATCAAATAGATTGTGTTCGCCAAGACGCCCATTAATCAACTTAAAAACCATCATATTATAACATTATAAACTTAAAACTACAGCATAATACAACAAATAGACAAGTAATTTGCACACTAATGCAATTTACTTTTGATAATCTCACAACATCACAGTAAACGTACAATAATAATACGAGTAATAATAATAGTAAATCAGTGTCACATCCTACCTATAGCTCTGGTTTTCAGCAAGCCCGATATGAGTAAAGCACGGACTCGAGTGCAAACAATACATACATACATAACGTGTGTGTAAAAGTATAATACATATATAACGAGTGTGTCTGTGTGATAGTGGACATGTGCTAAAATAATTACACTAAATATATAATATTAATAAATAAGTAAATAAAATGGCATAAGTGTACTTTATAGATATTGACATTATGTTATTTTGACATACGTAATAAATATTTGTGTAATATTAGTATATATGTATAATAATAAATATGTAAACGTTTCTAATCTTACACGCTATTCGTAGACGACGATCGTTAGTCGTCTTTCAGCCATTTACCGCTTGAATGCAATTTCAATCTAAAATCAAAACAAAGCACAAAAAAGACATGCTGCTGCCTTAACGTTGGCGATCAATATTAACAGACGGCTTTCATCGAAACTAACACTTGCCCAAGCCTACTGGCCGGTAATAAGAAAATATTTATAATAATAAATGTGCGGTCTTATCCAAGTCAAATAACTAACCTTACTAATTTTTAACGAATAAAATATGACGAAGAATCTTATTAAAATAAATAAATAACATTTAGTTATATCTATCACTTTTACTACAACAACAAATAAAAATTCATTTTAAAAACATCTTTGTACAACATGAATAAATTATATTTAAAAATTACCAATTATATTTCTTAGTAAATAAGAAAGGAGTTTTCGGCCTTCGACGTCGCAAGTGACATCTGTGAGAGATTTTAGGAACTTTCTCACTCAACCGGCTACGTTCCAATTACCACAAGCCGACGTTAATGTCGCTCATTATTAAGAATTCATAGTGTTCCAAATTATGAAGAGGTTTTGGAGGTCGATTCAGATCCTTACGATAACTCAGTTGTCGATTTCTTTTCATTTTTATTCACAACACCCGAATCGAACGTCAAACTGTCGAATTCGAAACCGAGCCGAAATGACGTCACACCCGTAGGATTCCGTATTCATAACACAGTTATCGAAAGAAACTTACCGAAAGTCCAATTGTTTACAAAGCATGAATGTAATATGGAAATCTCTTATTATTTTAAATAAAGTCTGGATTTTGTTCAATTTTATTAATTTATTTTAATGCAAGACTAAGGTATACCTATATTTTAGGCCTTATATAAATATAAATGGATTTTTATTTTTCATATAATCTATTTCACCGATTAACTCTGTAAACGCTGTTGGATAACGATATCGTATCCGAATCGAACGTTCAATTCGAATGCTCTGAATAGCTCGGAAGGCGCCCTTCGATTCGAGAACTATATACATCAAATCGAACGATTCGGTTAAAACATCGAAGTGTTAGTAGTGAAGTAACTGGGGCAAAATAGGAAAAGGGAATAGCGCACCTGTGCGTGATCCTGTGGGCGGCCAGGGCGCTGGCGGCGGAGGCCAGGTGCGAGGCCAGCAGCAGGCGGTGCTGCGGCTCCAGCGGCGGCATGGCGCGACCCCCCGCCGCCCCCGCAGCCCCCGCCACCGCCGCGTGCGCCTGTCCCACGCGGGCCTGGTATTCCGCTGTCTCCTCCGGGGTGCGCGTGGCTGTCAGGAAGCTTTTCAGGTCGCCCTGGCCGTAGTATTATAAGACACGTCTAGTAAGTACCTCCATACAAACGTAGCAGCGCGACTTCTCGGAATCTCAAGGTGCGCGCACCATTAATAACAGAATTGAAGCAGTTGCTCGGTGTTTAAAAAATTACATCAAATAATAAACGTGATTAGTGGTTTTTTTGGTAACTTATTTGTGGCAACAAACAGTCATACATGAAACAGTATTTGCGTTCCTCTTGAACCTATAGTGCCAGCAGTTTTACACCAATTATAATAACTAAGACAGCTATAACATGTGATTTTGTGTAATTATTTGTAATAACATTCTTGTTTTATATGTTACAAGAATTTTACAAGACGGAGTTTATCAAACAATAATACTTATTAAATGCCCTTTACAATTTGTAGTGCCAGCTTTTTTTTTTAATTTACTAAGAGTGGTGTCGAAAAGATCAATATTAGATAAATTGTTATTGCACATGTTGGTGGAATGGTAAATGAAGGAATTGCGTGTATATAATTTAGTAGATGGTTGGGGGGACGAATAGAGGGCGTTATGCGTGGAAGTTTGAACAAACAAGACTCAAATTCAGAATTGTTCAGCATTTCTTTACCCACTTACAGCTATAACTTACCCAATCAGTATATTCCAAGAGCATGCAATGCGGTGAACCTTGTTCGTTGCAGAGCCCAAGCAATCGAGCCACATTGGCGTGACGTACGCGACTGAACATGTCCAACTGGCGACGGAAGTCCGCTAGCTGCACCTGCAAAATATTTACAACTTTGTGAATTGGGGAAGCAGACCATAAACAAACTAATGAAGTCTAGATAAAACAACCAAGCGAAGATACAAAAAATCCAGGCTTGCCAAGTTTAAAAATTCGTGATGGCGTGTTTCCATCGAGTCGTCTGCTGCCTTTGCGACCATGTCGTCCATAGCATTACATCTAGTCGCTTCGGTCCACTAGCTGGTTCTACTAGGTAGTTCTAGAAGCAGTAGAGCTCCTTGTGAAAGAGTTCGTCCAGGGAAGTACTGTTACCTTACTTATTTATACCACCAAGCAATAATGTCAACATTACTGTGTTCCGGTTTTGAAGGGTGCTGGTGAAATTACAGGCACATGGAACTTGTCAACTTATGTCTCAGGGCATCGAGTATATAACCAGAAATAGAGACGAAATGTCATTTAATTTGTTTGAAAACTATTCAGCCATATCATTACTGTGACAACTGCGCTCGGATTGGCTAGCCCGAATTCGAAACAATTGACGGGTGTCGTCAATTGTTTCACTTCAAATCGACCAGTTAATTTGAGCTTTGCTATAATGGACGAAAATTGCAAAATTACATATGTAATATTAAATTACCGATGAAATTTGATTCCATTTGTCTTATAATTAGATGTTTTTCCCCATACCACCGTATGGAATAGCATGCCATTGCTAGAGTTACAATATATACAGAAAATTTTTGGAATATACAGTTGTTGGTGCTGTCTATATTTCAGTGCAAACGAGAGTTGATATTTATAAGTGATGTATCACTGATAAGTTACCAGGAATTTATGGCCCCTTATTTCGTCTTTATTTCTGGTTATATACTCGATGTCTCAGGGTGACGGGCACAGTGACAGTGCCCGTCAGATCCTTGCGATTTAACTTTTAAATTTAATCTGATTTAAGATTTAAATTTAAAATTTTTAACTCTGAGTGGTACTGCAACTGTTATAGACATGCGTGTTGTTCGTCCCGTCACTTGATATTATATAAAAAAAAAAGATTTCGGCTGCGTATTACCTAAACGACTAGGTATTTACACCAGGTAGCTTGCCGCCTTAGGCGGGCAAGCGAATGTCGACCTGGTGTAAATGCGCCATAACTTCCCAAGCCAATTATGACTCTCTAAAGCGTGTAATGAGATCTCTGTTCGTACAAAAAAAAAATGCGTGGGCCTATGTTATTCTTGCGTTACGTAGATTGATTCATTTTGTTGGCATTAGACACCCAGACCCGAGACAATGTAGAAAAGTTTTGTCCGGGCTATTATTGACGAACAACTCAGCCGAAAGTTTTCTAATGTCTTCAAGTAAAAATCCTGCTTCATGTATGTACTTTGTAGTGACGTAGGTTTTCGGTACAATAGAAATTGTGTAAAAAATAATATAAGTAAGAACGGCGAGGTGGACAGTTACGGAGTGCTGGCACGCGCGGAAGTGTCAGCTGCGCTTGCTCCAGTCCTCAGCCCTCACCCCTCAGGAACTTTTTCCGCCGCCGCACTCTAACGCAGCAGCGTTATTAGTTAGTTTTCTACATTGACCCAGCTGGGGATCGAACCCGGGACCTCAAAGATGGCGACACAAGCCACTCGACCACCGAGGCCGCCGCATTGATAATTAATCATATCCCACAAATAAAAACATTATGAGTAGACAGGGTTTACAACATACTATGCACTATTGGATATCAATGAACTAACCTCATCTTTGGTGGTAAGCACTTTGACCAAGACTGGTCTCAGCTTGGGTTCGAGATCTCCGTCTTCTTTGGCGCGTAATTTCTTCACTTGGCTGATGTCTATCTTGGCTACCAGCACTTCGCCGAACTCGCCGCGGCCTACGGTTATTTTATTTTGAATCTAACTGCATGTTTTTAATAATGAAGTTACAATAATTTTGACGATTTTTTGTTTAATTATATTTTGAAATTATCCATATTTTTTATGTTTAATTTTAAATACTACAATTGCATTAAGACTGGCAAACTCAGACGATCTTTTGAACAAAATTTGTTTATAAATAGTGATGCAACAGACCTCCGCTTCTGCTTCCGTAAATGCGGAAGTTCCGCACGCTTTTTCCGTTTCGCTTCCGCAACTTTTATCGGAAGTTTATAATGTTCGCGATTAGTCAGGCGCTTGGGCGCATTTCTTGGTGGTACACACTTGTACACATTTGGCGGTACTTGGTCACACGGAGACTTAACAGCGACGCAAACGCGATGCAGTAGCTAATCATATACCTTTTACACACGCGCGTGATTTTAAGCAGCGGTGCAAACGCGATGCAAGCCAGTGACTGCATCGCTACACTTGGGATTCATAAGCGATTGCATCGATACAGTCGCGCGTTTGCATCGATGCAGTCGCGCGTTTGCATCGATAGTCGCGCCTTTGCATTGATGCAGTCGCGCGTTTGCATCGCTCTTTAAAGTCGCCGTTTGTAATCTACTCTTAGCAGTTTTGTGTAGTGTTAAGTGCAATTATGAAACCAAAGACAAGCTCTATTTGGAACTATTTCGTTGAGATCTTTATGGTATTTATACTTCCGCTTCCTCATCCGCTTCCGTTTCTGCTAAGATTGACTTTTAATATCTGGTTTCGTTTCTGTTTCCGTTATGGCACTTCCTTTGCATCACTAGTTATAAGCATGTGTGCTCTGCTAATACTTCCTTTAAACTACAATAGTTTTCAAGTTCGCGTAAATAACATACCTAAGCTATCGTTTAAAAAGAAAATAAAAGAGAAATTGTAATATCAGTTTTATTGAATATCATCATGTTTTACAACCATGATATTCTATTATTTTTTTGTGAAATTACTCCACTAGTTTATAATAATTATTAATACAAAGATCGAATACTCAGAAAAAGTCCATCGATCCAGCCGGATTCAAACCAGCGCGTTCAGCTTATCGCGCTTGACGCGACAAGATCATCATTAATTCGATCATTGATCAGTAGTAGAGTGTCTCCTTGTGAAAGAGTTCGTCCATGGAAGTAAGTGCCACCTTACCCATTTCTGCTGCCAAGCAGTAATGTGAACAAGAATGTGTTCCGTTCTGAGTGGCAGTCACTGAGAACTTTGCGATTTCAATATCTGAGTGGCACTGCAACTGTGCAACTGGATAGGCGTGTCGCTTACATCACGTATGTCATTTTTTTTTTTTATTTGGTTTACACTTACCTAGTGGGATCTGTTCCGTAAGCAAAGACCGAGGTACAGACAAATGGTCGTATTGTCCCGATTTCTTGGAAATACGGGATACACCAGACACCTCAGAGTTATCCGGCCCGCTGTCCTTTTCGTGCGGCAGAAGTCGACCGTTCTGCACGGGGCCGCCGTTGGGTTTCTTTTCTTCTTCCCCTTCTACTAATTTCTCTCTGCCTTCTACCATTTCTAATTCCATTTTTTCTCCTAAACAAATATCATAAAACTGTACTAAGTGACCTGTATCAGTTATATAGGCTGTAACAGAAAGATGTAGCCACATTTCAAGGTCAGATTCATTAATGGAATATGGAATTTACACAGAGACTACACCAGAACGAATTCAGAAAAGAAAGAATATCTCAAATTGGTCCTACTGGTCATGATCGGGTTCGATGGAACCCGGAACCTCTTAATCTAGTGCCAACCGCTGGGCCACTGAGGTCGTCAAGTAATAAAACCATTTCTTTAATATGAGATAAAACATATCGAACTGCTATTACAATAGTGTTGTAACTCAAAACATGTGAAATTCAATATTATATCATAACTGAACGTAAAATTTGATTCACAACACGTCAGTAAAACCGTCGTTAGAATATTATAAGAAATAATTTAAAAATATCTACTGAATTCCTAATGAGTCAGGCTTTATGTGATCTAGTTCTGGTAAAAAAGTCCTTATTAAAAAATGTGAAATATTTTTTCCATTTTATTTTTAAATATACATATTTGGCAAGTAGAAAATTGTCAAGTGTCTGTAATAAAGTATAACCTACACATAAATTTTAATGATCTTTTACGGAAAGTGAATAATTCGTTTTTCATCGTTTCTGGGAAAATACACTTTTCGAGTTAATACACTATTGTATTAACAGTGACCTCTCAGGTCTAGCGGTTAACACCATAGATATAATAACCATAAAATACAAAAAGTATAAGACAAAAGTACCATAACTTTACAGTTTAATTTACCATGTTTACTTATTGGTTTTGTTTTATCCATTTATTTGTCTGTAATGTAACATACAAAAAATGCTTTTGACACGAGCTTCTGATATGTGCATGCTGTATTTGCCTATTATTGGGTTTACACTCGAGTATTTTATGTAATGTTATCGTTTGTTCATGTACAATAGTGTATTTCTGTTGGCACATCTAATAAATAAATAAAATAAAATAAAAAATAAAATATCTATGGTTCACACTGTTAAACGCTTGTAGACTAGAACCAATAAAAGCGTGAAACACACTGACAGCGGGTGCGGGTCGGGCACTGTCGGGTCGTGTGCAAAGCAGTCGGGTCGGGTGCAGTGTAATTCCGTGTGAGTTTCACGCTTTAGAAAAGTTAATTTCCCAAATTGGTCCTACCGGGAATCGAGAATAGAGCCTTGTCATTCTGCGTTCACAGTGCAAACCGTGTCGTAAAATTAAATGATATTGTAATAATTGCGATTTTCGGAACGACCACCGTCGATCGATACTAAACATAGAACATGTACCTCTTCGTCTACGTCTCAGCCGTCGTCTTCGACAGTACACCATGAGAGCTAGCACGAGTAGCATGTACGCGCCGGCTACAGAGATTGAAATCACTACTGCCTTGCTTGCTACTCCCGACGATTCAGAAGAGGGGATGACTTCGCCTTCTAGAATGATATAAAAATAAAACATAAAGAGTCAACACTACCTCAGCTCACACCGTATAGTAATCAGCGCATATCTTCAATTTTACCATATATTTTTCCAAAGTGATACATTCAACACTTTCACTGTCATGCAGCATCAACCAAAGCTATAGCTAAAGGCGTAATAGTCGTTGCGTAGGCTTTAAAACCTTTTATAGAAGTCATAACAAAATACATATGTATAAATATGTAATATACCTAATTAACCCATTAATATATTCTCAAATAAAAACTGTTTTAACAGAAATATAATCAATACATAATAAAATAAGTGTGTTTAAAAAGTATAAATAAATAGGTGCTGGAAAATGTTAAGAGCATTTCTTTTGATTTTCCAGCAGAACAACCTTAAGCTTGCGTTTGAAAGCATTCCTACCAGAAATGTTATGAAGAGAAGGGGGTAAATCATTTCAGCATGTGGATGACGCAAACCTGAAACTGCCTCGGAAAGCTGTAGTACGGTGAGCAGGAGCAATAGCCCGAAATTTGTACTTGAAACAGCCTTGAGATCAACGACGTTTGCGATAGAGGTACTCGGGTGTTTACGTTTTCATCACAGAACAATAAATACGGTAGAAGTGCTTAGTTTTGCATGGTACGTGTGCCAACAGTATGCAAAGTTACACATACTTAAACTTAGTCTGCTATTTTCGCTTTGTACCTTACGGTACATCACAGAATAATGTCTTATTTTGGTACTTTGGAGTGCAAACATGATAGTCGCACTTGTAATATTATCTATCGTAGTGTTTCATGTCACCGTTAAGTTTTATTTTATATAATTTTAATAAATTTAACGATACGAAAGTAAATCTTATACCGCTGCAATATGGTTGCTTTTTTTTGGAGAACTAAGTAAATATCTCGAATTCATCGTCGTTCAGCTATGGACCGCTAGATGGCAGCACATATTTCAATATAAAATCAAAATATCGTAACTTGCAATAATAGGTTTAATATTCAACGATATGCCAACAGGGTAAAGTTTAAATTATATTAACAGTGCAGATCAACATAACAATAGTGAGTAGTAGTAGACGAGAAAAATAAGTGATTCACAAAGGAAGATACGCAAATCCAAGCTAAGGTAATCTTTAATATTTACAATATCACACTGTAATATTACTTTTACGGAAAAGCAATTTGATGTTGCATTGCGTCTAGTACATACCTGGGTGTACAATCAGCTGCAGGTCATGCCGGGCGAGGCCGGCGGCGCTGCCCGCCGTGCAGCCGTAGCGGTCCGAGTCCTCTTCCCGTGCAGAGCGGATGACTAGCGTGCCGTTGTTCAGCACCAGCATCCTTAAACATGATATCCATTTGTCGAAAACGCGCGCAGAAACCAAGTTTGTGTTTTAATTACTTTTTTCCATAGATTTTTTTATTATACTGCTTCTGTGGCCGAACGGTTACCATGCTGGACTGCCATGCAGAGGTCCCGGGTTGGATTCCCGTGACAGGAGAAATATTTATATGACCTACATTTATTTCTCTCTGTAATTTGTGGTTATCTATGTGTGTGTCCATGGCACCCGCGATACAGGGTTTCCCTAGTGCGGGGCTGTGAGTGTGTTCGCGTTATTATTTTCCTATTGCTAATACAGTCCAGATTACAAAGATCAAACTTTTCATAGTGGAAAAGAAACAATTTTTTTTTCGGATCTAAATCGTAACCTGACCACGGGATCCGTAAAGAGTCCGAAACGTTGATATTTTTATTTTATTTATTTATTAATAAAAAAAACTTTATTTTTTTTAGTATTGTATAATAAAAAAGTCAAAAACCCTACCTTGCATTTGAGGCGTTCGCGCTTCCTTCAGTTTCAACGCCTTCTTCTGTAAATATAAAAACAAATGTGTATTTTTATATATTCATATAAAAGTTTTTAGAAGTAATAATAGTAACAGTATGTCGATATTACTTATCGCACTTGATAGGTCCCAGGAAAAAAGAATCAGGTACAAGATCAAGCAGAGTGAGCCTCCTCGTGTTCCTTGGTTCGACTATGTAAAATTAAGCAGGGGTCAAATTGTCAGTGCGAATAGATGTCAAATTAAAAAAAAAATTAGAGACAAACATTTTATTGAATAATAAATGAAAAAGTAAAATTATTAAATTGGAAATTAAAAATAGGATCTCTTATGTCCCACTTACTTTCTAAAAATTCTTTAACGAAAGGCATTATTCTATAAGGAAGTTTTTTAGCTTTTTTTAAAATATTACATAATAATAATATTAATAATATTACTTTTTTGTTATAATTATTAATAAAAAGATCGAACAATCAGAAAAAGCACTCAGAAAAAATTCCATCGATCCGGTCGCTATACCAACTAAGCTTGGTGCTTAGTTGGTATAGCGTCTGGCACGGTATGCAAGAAGACGTCGGTTCGAATCCGACCGGATCGAAGGAATTTTTTCTGAGTGTTTTTTCTGATTGTTCGATCTTTGTATTATTAATTATAACAAACTAGTGGAGTAATTTCACAAAAAATAATTGAATATCAATTCAATAAAAATTTAATTAATACAGTGAATAGCGACATCTCTCGCCAGGACTGGTAGCTGTAAAGGTACTAACTGGGTGATAAATCTGTCAAAGATTTCTCATAGATGGCGCTACGACTAAAAAGTCGTTGAAAGACCAAGTACAAAGACACGACGCAAGCACATAGATAAATTCGTGAGGTCCGTTGGTTCGTTCTGTTGGTTAGTTGGTATAGCGTCTGGCACGGTATGCAAGAAGACGTCGGTTCGAATCCGACCGGATCGAAGGAATTTTTTCTGAGTGTTTTTTCTGATTGTTCGATCTTTGTATTATTAATTATAACAAACTAGTGGAGTAATTTCACAAAAAATAATTGAATATCAACTCAATAAAAATTTAATTAATATTACTTTTTCTATATTTTTTATATCAAGTGGTATAAGCTTTCAGGGCATAGTTTCCTAAAGTGGTCCCTACCGCGCCCCAGTGGGCGCTGAAGAGTCCTAGGGACCTCGGAAGCAATTGGGGCGTTAATGCTGTCCAGAGAGTGTTACCGCATTTGATAAAGAAAGCCTGAATTATCTACATAAACTACACTATAGTCCATTTGTTTACATACTTAACTAAATGTAAATAATCTTGAGATGTCTATTTACTGAAATATACATTTATAAAATGATTTTTACTTACCTTCAAATACAAATACTTAGCTTCATATGAAATTGCATGCCTATTTTTATACCTCTTGATTTGTAAAGTATATGTTTCAATAAAAAGATGTATGAAGATTGCTTACATTTCACCCAAAGTTTACTTTTATGTTTATCTAATGCACTCAGGTGATTTAAGGTTACCTACTAAAAGTGTACTTAATGCACCTAGGTGAATTAGTTCAGGTGAATTAAGTTAACGCACCTTTACATTTAGTTAAGTACCCAAACAAATAGAGTTTACATTTTATTTTCACTGACATTTTTTGTTTTAAGTTAATATAAAAAATACGTGTTTTCAATTGTACTTTGCGATGATGGGCGTTGAAATTTTTTTTCTCTTGTTTACGTGGGCGGTGCGCCAACAAGTTTGGGAACCTATGTTTTAGGGTGTCAAGGTACTTACGCTGATGTAAAATAGTCAAATTGCGATCCCAATGCGTTGTGGGCTGCGGATCGCCGGTTGCACGACAATGTAAGATGACCGGCTGGCCAACCCACGCGTGGACTTGCTCTCCGGACTCTGGCTCCAAGATGCGCGGCGTTACTGAGGACAATAATTAATAATAATTAACTCTGGCCGTACGGTTACCACCTTGGACTGTCACGATTCCCGAGCCAGGAGAAATATTTGTACATTTGTAGGCCTACATCTATTTCTCTCGTAAGTTTGGGTGTAATTTGTGGTTGTCTACATACAGGGTGTCTCTAGTGCGGGGCTATGAGTGTATGCGTTATTTATTACTACTGTAATAGGTATTTTATACCTACCCTATACTATATAGTTAATCCAGTAATAGCTATCTATTACTGGATTAACTATATACGTCAGTTATAACACTGGAGTTTTGATTACAAGGTAGGGCAATTGTTGGAAAGCTTTTTAAACAGCTATTTTTCCTGGAGTGAAGTTTTCAACAGTAGCAGAACCGAAAACGCTATAATTATATTTTTCATTCATAAATCATCAACCCATTTCTACATCCCATTGCTGGCCATGGGTCTCCTCTTAGGCGAGGCTACACACATATTAAAATAAGAGAATATGATAACTCTGTACAAAGTAACAGAGCGGTGTGTATGTGTGCGCGATCGCCGCGCCTTGTACGGACGCTCACATTCGCATAATAATGACAGACCCGTCGTCGGAACGACCTGTTATGCAACGGAAGTGCATTGTGAAATTATGCGAATGTGTGCGTCCGTACATGGTGCGTGGCGATCACGCACACATACAAGCCGTGCTGCTATGTTTGCCACGTTGCCTCAACAAGGGTTGGGGACTTCACATGTTTTCCGAGGGTTGTGAACCTTCTTCGACGTACAGGTTTTATCACGATGATTTCCTTCACCGAAAAGCTCATGATAAACTTCACATTAAATTTCGCACATGAAATACGAGAAACTAACAAGTGCGAGGCCGGATTCAAACTCACGGCCCTCTGCTTGAGATGCAGTAGGTCAAACCATTATAAGCTACCACGGCTTATTGGTATTTTTTATTTAAACCTTTTCACCACGAGGCAGGCATAATAGTGTATGCCGTCGATGTGACAAGACGTTATTTGAGAATGTAAATGTTTTTATTGTTCATTTCATTATTTTCTTACCAACAACATCCAAAGAAATAGTGGAGTGAATTGTGGTATTTCCATCTGTCGCGCGACATGTGTACCGGCCGGCGTGGCGGTGTTCCGCTGACGTCACGAGAAGCGTTCCGTTCAATGACGTCACGCCGGAGGGTAACGGGGAAGACTCGTTCTGTAAAATACATTAAATATAACGGATTAACACAACAATAAAATTGCTTTGACACTATACTACATTATAGTATATAATACAAATGTTTCCATTTAGCGGGACGCTATTACAATTTCCAAAATTATGCAGTCTTTTTCAAAAGGTCGGATCTTTTACTTTTTTAATTTAGGTCCAATTTAAAAAAAAAAATTAGTAAAAATACTGTCTTTTTTTCATTTCATTTTTTGCTAATTATCTTTGACGTCCATCAGACATCATCATTCTGAAGAGCGCAGTAGTGTCTGAACATCGAGTATACAATCAGAAATAAAGACGAAATAAGGACCATCCATCCGGGCATCCCTAGCAATTCATCAGGCAAATGGGCCTTATATCACTTTTAAATATCAACTCTCGTTTGCGCTGAAATCACAAATTAAAAAGCTGAAATGGTACAGCGCCACCAACTGACCTGTATGTACGTCTCCGTATATTCCAAAATTATTCAGTGTTTATTGTAATAAAGATAATATTAGGCTGTCCCGTTCGGTGGTGTGGGAAAAAAAGCAAAACATATAAATACAAAACAAACGGAATCACAGTTCATAGGTAATTAAATATTAAATATGTAATTTTGCAATTTTCGTCCATTATAGCAAAGCTCAAGTTAAACTGGTCGATTTGAAGTGAAACAATTGACGACACCCGTCAAATGATTCGAATTTGGGCTGGCCAATTAGAGACTTCGCAGAATAGTTTTCAAACAAATTAAACGACATTTCGTCTCTATTTCTGGTTACACACTCGTTGTGTCTGAAGATAGAGACAGATCGCAATTGCCTTTATTTTCACCAGTGTAATGGCGCGTTCCCATTATGTCGACAGGTAGTCGTGCAGTTTAAAGTGTCCGCATATGAAATTTAAATGAAGTTGTTCACAGATAGGACAACACGACTGTCGTTCACGACTTTTTTGATGTTACGACGTCAGACAGTCGTGACAATGGGAAGGGCTAGAACGACAGTCGTCGGACGATAAATAAAACGTCACGACAAAAATGTGACGACAGATAATCGCAGCTTCAAACGATTCAGTCGTGCTAACGACAAGGCAACTGCCGTGAACCGATAAATTGTAGTCGCGATCTAGTGGGAACAGCTAGACACGACAATCGTTCAACGATAAAATAAACTTCCACGTCAGTAACGACAGATAGTTGTAATATGAGAACAGGCTAGACCTTTTTCTTATATCTATGGGCTAGACGCGACAGTCATCCAATTATCAATAAAATGTTACAACATAATAACTTCTCTGGACGAACTTTTCACAAGGAGCTCTACTTTTACCATAATATACTACTTGTGCTCTTTGATCTCCCTCTGAGTTTGGTACTCACCAAGAACCATTGTACGGTGGGTGCTACACCTCCGGCTACTTTACAGTGTATTTTCCCTGCACTGTTCAACTCCAGCTTCTTGTTGTATGGCTCAGGTTCGAAGCGTAGCGCGCCATCTGCCGTGGAATAGACGTTACTTTGTTAGTATTGCTACTTAATTGTAGATAGCGCTAGGTCGCAAAAGTTGTAATTGTCGGGCGGCAAACCTTTTAAATAATGGAAAAAGCCAATGGGACATAAAGGGAAACCTTCTTAAGTGCTTAATATAGATAAGTTAGCTTAATTTTTCTTCTAATTAATATTGTTTTATGTCAAAATAAAACTTATTTTGCAAATTGCATATAACGTAAATAGGAATAATGTTCTTTGGTAAATTTATTATCATCATCAACGCTTTTTAACCGACTCGAAAAAAAGGCGGAGTTTTCAATTCGACTGTTTTTTTAGCATGCATTTGTGAACCGATTTGGATTCTCTTTTTGTTGGAAAGAGGGTACCAGAAAGAGGAGATTGATCCCATTTAAATTTAAAGAAAATATTCCACCTCTAAGGGTGGCAAACTAAGGTATAAATCCGGTTTGGCGCACTTTCCGGTAACCGATTTCAATAAAACTTGGCAAATAGATGCACAAACTATTGAGGTCGGTTTTTTAAATAAAAAGTTACAATTATATACCTCCCACTGCTGAACACAGGTCTCCTCTCAGGTTTGCGTTTAGGCCATTGTCCGCCACGCCGACTCAATGCGAGTTAGGACTTCACACCTTTTCCGACGGTTGTGAACCTTACTCAACTTACAGGTTTCAATACGATGTTTTCCTTCACCGAAAAACTCTAAGGTGCTTGGTAATAATAATAATATTAATAATAAATAACCTCCACACAAAATCACCACTCATTCTCATCCCATCAGAATAACACAACCGAACCAGTAGGTCGATTCAGAACCTCACGATAACTCCATTGTCGACCCATTCGATTTAATATCGTACGATTGCTTTTTATTTATTTGTGTTGTGAATACACAACACCCGAATCGAACGTCGAACCGAAATGACGTCACACCCGTACGATTACTCGTACTTCTCGACCGGCAAAGGCTACAAACGTTATTCAGAACATAGATATCGAGTGAAAGTTATCGAACGTCCTATTGTTTACAAAGCAAATACTATGGAATTCTCCTATAATATTTTAAATAAAGTCTCAGTCACTCAGTCAGTCAATTTTATTAAACTAAGACTAATGCATTCCTATATTTAGGCCTTTAAAGTCTTAAAAATATACATAAAAGGATTTTCATTTTTCTTATAATCTATTTCATCGACTAACTCCGTAAACGCTGTCGGATAACGATATCGTATCTGAATCCGAATCGAACGTTCAACTCAAATGTTCTGAATAGTTCGAAAAGCGCCCTTCGATTCGAGAACGATATCCAATCGAATCATTCGGTTAAAATATCGAAAAGTTCTGAATCGGTGCCCTGGTTCCGAATATCCGACATTGAGTCGCGTTCAAGAAAAATCTTTGTCATAATAGTAAATTAAAAATAAAATAAGGCATTTAGCCTATTAACTTTTGTAACTATAGTTCAGGATAGGGTGGTTTGCATTAATAGACATTGATGGCTTCACCATCTCAGTCAACCGAGACCGTGAGACATGTCACGGGTTCGAAACGTTGGTTTCTTTGAAAAAACAAATACACGCGATTCAAATCCGATAGTTTCATTTCAAATGTATAGTAATGGCCAAAAACAAAGAAATTGATTAATTAGAAATACTTTAATTACCATTAACAGCTCGGTGTTTTCTACTGGAGCCGTGCCGTCCGATTTTATGCGCCGAGATGTGTGCAGTAACTGAAACAGAAATATATTTATTTAGTTTGTCCAACTTACAGTACTTATAACTAAACATGTAAGTCATAGTCAGAAAAAAGGTTGAGTCGACAAAAGATAGGATGCGGAATTTGGACCACAGAGCTTCGGGCGGTGACCGCCTCCAAATAGTAACCAGCGGATGTTAGAAATTTTGATTCAGTGTTGCTGAAGACGTCAATATCATTTGTTTTGCTTAAGGATTCAATTACGGCTAATGCTTCGAAGAATGGTGTCCGTCTTAGTGTCACTGTGCGGGTTAAAGGAAAGTTGAATAGAGGGTATTTGCGCTGACGTAAGACGTAGCGTGAGATTGGCGGGATAAAAAAAGGAATTTGAGCCAATTGAGGAGGGTTAACTATACATTCTCTTGTTAGGTTAAAAATATATTTTAGAAGCGCCAGTTTTCGCCTGATCTCAAGCGATCTGTACGGCATCATGTCCAAAATAAAGGGTGTAGGGTACATATAAAAGGATAGTACCCATAAAGTTTACTACACAAATACCTCAAAAATGATTTCTGGATTCGTTCTAACATTGCTATATAGAGTTTATTGTGGGGATTCCACACTGCGCACGTAACTTCCAATTTACTTCGAACAAAGGCGTTATATAAATTACAAATTGCCTGTCGATGGTCAAAAAACTCAGATTGCTGCTTGATGAAGCCAAGACTTTTTCAAGCACTATTACATATATCGATAATATGATCGTTAAATTTGAGTTTAGAATCGAATCTTACTCCTAAATCACGAACAGACTTCACACGGTTCAAGGTCGTGCCACCGAGGCTGTACTCATTGAGGATTGGATCTCTCCGGGAATAAGACATCACTGAACACTTTTCAACATTCATCTCCCGGCTCCAAGCGAAAATGCTGTTAATATCAGCTTGGAGTAGATCAAAGTCCGCGGTGCACTTCACCGGCAAAGCGAGTTTGACATCGTCAGCAAACAAGGCAGACAGAAGATTTTACAGATGTGGGAAGGTCATTTACAAGCAGTAAAAAAAGGAGAGGGCCGAGAGTGCTACCTTGCCCTATACCAGAAGCAACTGTATAAAGGGAAGATTTAAAGTTTTCGTATTCAACGTACTGCTTTTTATCTTGAAAATACGCACAAAAGAATTTCATTAACTGAGTAGTAAATCCCGAAAAAAATATAATAAGTTATTAAGGTAATCTATATTGCTATAGCCTCCTATGGTCATGTGTACATTTAAATTTACATATGAAGAAATTCAAACCCAGACTATATTATTTCTACGATCACGTAAACGTCCAGTGCCTATATATTGAATACAGGGTATAATAGTTACGAGTCCATACTCCCTGAAATGGCTTTTGTTGATTCCGCATAAAAGTGAAAGTGTTGAATGGAAACACTTTGGAAAAAAATATGAGATATAACTTTAGGTTATACACTGATTACTTGGGCTCGGATAAATATGCAGTATAAAGTACAAGAAATGTACATACAATATGGGCAAAAAATCTTAAAATATGGAGATTAAAAAACAACTGCTTTCACATAGCCTACGCCTTCTTATTAAAAAAATCAACAAATTTAATTCCACTTCAATCTAATTTTCGTTAACGTTATTATTATACATCGAGTATATAACCAGAAATAGAGACGAAATAAGGGCCATTATTCCTGGTAATACATTAGCGATACAGCTCTTATAAATATCAACTCCCGTTTGCACTGGAATATAGACAGGCCAACTACTGATCTGTGTGTACGTCTCTGTATATTCCAAAAAATATTCTGTATTTATTGTAATAAAGATAATATCTCTAACAATGGGGGCTGTTCCATTCGGTGATGTGGGAAAAACAGCAAAACATCTAATTACAAAACAAATGGAATCACATTTCATCGGTAATTAAATATTAAATATGTAATTTTGCAATTTTCGTCCATTATAGCAAAGCTCAAGTTAACTGGTCGATATGAAGTGAAACAGTTGACGACACCCATTGACGACACCCGTCAATTGTTTCGAACTCGAGCTAGCCAATCGGAGCGCAATTGTCACAGTAATGATATGGCAGAATAGTTTTCAAACCAATTAAATGTTATTTCGTCTCTATTTCTGGTTATATATTCGATGTTATTACATTACATCATTACCCAATAAATTTAAATTAAAAAAAAATTAAATTTTTCGAAATGAAAATTCTGTTTGTTTGGTCGGAACAGCTGAATGACCCTTCGACGTCACAGGTTGTCACGTCTAGGTTGTCATCTTCCGCATAATATTTTTTTTAGTGTATTAAAATCTTTATTGTTTTCATTGTTTAATTAAATAAAATATCACGTAATATTGAAAATATGGATTATTGCAAGTAGAAATATGGTCTAATCTAAGCATGTAAATATGAAAAAATATGGAAAATAAGAGTAACGTTTTTTATTCTAAATTGACATTATTTATGTACAAAACAAATTAAAGAACGTTAATTATTGAAATAAAAAATATGTAATTACATATTAATCCGGGCCCTGTGGTATGAAAACAAGAATCCTAAAAATTTTCACGATGGACAGAGACCTTGAAACTTTACAAGAAAACCGCTGTATTTTAATAATAATAACAACGCACACACGCAACATAGCCCTGCACTAGGAAAACCCTGTGTCGCGGGTGCCATGGATACACACATAGACAACCACAAATTACACCCAAATTCGCGAGAGAAATAAATGTAAGCCATACAAATATTTCTTCCGGCCCGGGAATCGAACCTGAGACCTCTGCGTGTCAGTCTGGTATGGTAACCGTTCGGCCACGGAGGCAGTTAAATAGTTAAGTTATTCAATAGGTATGTTTGTTTGTGTTTTTTATATCAACTGAACTAAATAGAACACTTAGTATGCGACATACATTTTTCAAATGTCTTTAATTTGGTAGAGATTTTAATTTACCTACTTTAAGAGGTAACAGTAAGTTTACAGATAACGAAACTGCTATAAATAAAGTAATAAAGCTGAGAGACTATTTTATCTACTTTATGGGGTAACAAAATGTATATAGATTTTTATTTTTTATATAAAACCAAATGACGGGACGAACAAGTTGTGTGCCTGATGGTAAGCGACACGCCTGTCCATAACAGTTGCAGTACCACTCAAAGTTTTAAATCACAAAGATCACAGACACCTCGAGACATAAGTTGACAGGGCCCAGGTGCCTGTGATTTCACCAGCACCCTTACCCTTCTAAATCGGAACGCAGTAATGTTAACATTACTACTTGGCGGCAGAATTATGTAAGGTAGGCAGTACTTCCCTGGACGAACTCTTTCACAAGGAGCTCTACTGCTACTAAATAAATATAATGTGTTTCATGTTCTCTGTATTATTTTTATGACTTACTTTACATGTAAGAAAAGCACTTTTAACGTATAATCACATACACATATTATTCTTACTTAGGATACGAAATGTTAAATCCAATGTATTTCGAAAATTAAATAAACGTGGGTTTGCAAACTAAAGTTATGATTATTTTTTATTTGATTGTTTTTTCATGTATAAAAAATATACCCATATATTATTACTATATAGGTCATATACGAGAGGCGCACGTATGATATGTAGAATCAATCTACAACGAAATCAAAGTAAAATACTAGCGTTGTGTATGAAATAAAAGATGGCCACGATTACTTTGTTCAGTATGAAAGGACATAGGAAATGTAAATAGGAAATACATTTGTTATATTTGTTACAAAGGGAATTAGAAGTTGGAAAGGCTCTGTTAAAAAAATTGTTGTTAAAATTTTGAATATTTTGCTTCTGTCTTCCGCCATTTTGTCCGTGCAAAACGAAAAGTGTGTCACTAATTTTGAAAAAAGGAAAAATAAGGATAGCGTCGCGATAATGGCTAGTATTATTTTTGAATTGGAAATAGTCACAAGAGATTACTTTTCAGCCGTCGTAATTATTAAAAATTAATTAGGCTAATTGAAAACCCCTTTATTTTTCGTTTTAGATTTCATGGGATTACACCACTTTTCCGCTGATAGCTTCAGTTATGATGTCCAGAAATATTGAAATTTCTAAAATTTAATATTTCACGTTGAAAGTTAATCTGACATTCAAGTTACAGGTTTGGGGGGCAGATAAAAGATAAGGTAAGGTGTTCTACGCGGAGGTTATAAATAAGCAAATATTTAATTTAGACAACGTTTTTTAGAAACACACTATGTCTATATACTTTCGGTAAACTGAACTTTAAAGGTGGCATCACACTTTCCTTATGAGCAGTAAAAGCACGGTATGTTCGCATCGCACTGCCCGGTAGTGTAAACAGGAACGCATATACAGCGGCTACATCAAACGCGCGCGTATTCTTGGATGTTACCTGGTAGGGTGACCATGGATGTTATTTATTTCGTACTCTTTCAGTATTTACCAGTTGGACTAAGGGTTGCTTTGCAATTAATTAGAAATTGTGGGTCCGACACCCCGTTAGAAGAGCCTTTAATATTTGGAATATACTCGTACAAAAAGGTGTAAATATAATTCGTGATTTTGCTAATGAAAATAAGAAACAATCTTTGCAAAAAAAAATAATTAGCTACCTTTACAGCTACCGGCCTTGGCTAGAGACGTCGCTTTTGATTGTAATTAAGTTTTTATTGAATGTCAGGATGTGTCACCACCATAATAACGCACACACTCAACATAGTCCCGCTCTAGGGAAATCCTGTGTCGCGGATCGCCATGGACACGCACCTTCCTGGCCCGGGATTCGAACCTAGGACCTCTGCGTGGCAGTCCGGCATGGTAACCGTTCGGCCTCGGAGGCAGTTACCATGATATTCAATTATATTTTGTATTTCAGGTCGTTTTTACTTTTTTAAAAATAATTGTTGAAAATAATAAACGTTAAAGTTATCTATTTACAAGAGCGACCTCTAAAATGTCTTACTCATTATTCTCCTTATTCCCTGACGTACGATATGAGAAATAATTCATTTTGCCATTGTCAAGTTAAATTTGTTTATAACTGACATAAACCGATTTAAGACATAGAACCATTGACTTACAAATAAATGGACGACGGGTCTAATACAAAAACCACGAAAAAAATGTCCCAAGTCAACCTATTTAAACGTAGTGACATGTCAAGTAATATGAAAAAGCTAAAACGTTGAATTTAAATTGTAATGTCATCGCAGTACTGTCTAATTTTGCTTGCTTCGCTGTCAGTCGAACAAACGAAGACTAGAGCGTGAATGACGCTCTGTATACGATTTTAACGCCCTATAAGTTCGGACACTTTTTAGCGCGGACCCGACGTCCATATAATTGTAAGTCAATGCATAGAACGTACACTAAGATCGGTGCTAGCTTATCATAGCTGTTTTTAATGAGTGTTGTTTGTATAGGAGCGGATGTAGAATACAATAAATCTGATGTTAAATCGAAAACAACTATCCTAAATTTCACCACAGTCATGTACTCCCTACTCAATCTAAATATACAGTCTTTCAACGGTCTCTGCGGTACGTCACTCGGCATTGAACCCGGGCCGTCGGTTCAACGTGCCGGTCAGCCATCGCCCGATCAATTAACAGATCAAACACAGTAAACACAGGTGCTCTTGACCGTGCATGGTTTATTGTTGTCGGAGTTTCAAAAGCAGGTTGGGGACGCGGGGAGTTTGTAAACCTAACTCGAATGTGACTTCGATGACTAACACAAGAAAAGGCTTTATTTTCGGTAGTTGAAGTTATGACTTTTTTCTAATGATACCACAAGTGACGGAACGAACGAGTCGTACGCCTGGTGTTAAGCGACACGACAATGCGGTATTTA